GGCAGTAAGACACGAGTCGAGTGACAGTCAGCTCTCGGTTTATTGGCAAGGCATAAAGTAAATCCGGACTGGCTCTCTGGGCCAGGGGAGCCCTCTTTTATGGGATTCCCCTGGCTTGTAATCACACAATTCCATTGGCTGGCAAGACCCTGTTGCTAGTTAGCCAACCAGCAACGGGCATGAAACTGTATGCAGATGGTGACGGGCAATCACCCTTAATGGGCGATCAATGGTGAAGGGCAATCACCCTTAATGGGTGATCAGGATATGCATAGGGGATTAAGGGGGGGGAATACAAAGAACACAACACATTGAATGTTAGAGAGACTGTATGATGTAACAAGGAATATGAATCTGAAAATCTGAATATGGATCAAAGAATGTTAGTTGTCTTTGACCGGGAATATGGAGGAAATGATTGTAAGTTGGGTTTATCAGAAAAATTATAAAAATGCAGTGGGAATGGGATGGGTTAAAGTGTGTGCTATAAAACAAGAAGTAATAGGTAAGGTAACTAACCAAAGAGAGAAACAACCTAGAACTAAGGAGAAATTTCCTGACAGTTAGAAAAATTAATCAGTGGAACAACCTGCTTCCAGAAACTGTGAATGCTCCAACACTGGACGTTTTTAAGAAGAGACTGGACAGCCATTTGTCTGAAATGGTATAGGGTTTCCTGCCTGAGCAGGGGGTTGGACTTGATCAGAGGCCCCCAATCTTTTGGGCACCAGGAATCGGTTCTGTGGAGAAAGGTTTTTCCACGGACCGGAGTGTGTGTGGTTTTGTGTGCTGCCTGCATCCCACAGATGGGGCTTTGCTTGTTTGTGCGGACTGGTTGCTGACATGCTGTGGCCCGGTACCGGTCCACGGACCAGGGGTTGGGGACCTCCAAGATCCTTTCCATGGTTGGATGCAATTGATGAGAACATGAAAAAGAGCAATGAAAAGTTTTAAAAAATAAAAAGAAGTTGCATGTGGATATGGAAGAAGTAAAGAAGACATGTAAGAACAGAAAAGTACAGAGAAGTATAATAATGATGTAAGTTTTAAATTCTTTGGCTTCCTTCTATTTCTTATTACTTTTCTTTACTCTGTGTAACATTGCTTTACTTAGGTTGGTATGAATGAATGCATGAATAAATGCCTGCAGACACAACAATATTATGTTATTATGTGTAATTTTTTCTGAAATTTGTTTCAAAACTATATTTTGTTTCTCAAGTGACTCTTGTCTCTTCTTTCTAGTATTCTTGAAAATAGGGAGAGGAATACAGAGAAATAATTTTTGTATTTGTGGTGGGGGGTATAAATAGGTCTTGGCAACAGATATGTCAAAACATATGAATCTTCTGGCTGATCTGAAGACAATGGTAGAGACCAAGAAAGTAACCAGTTTGGGAGTCCTGCTTTTGGATAACTACTCAGATCGCATTCAGGTAAGGCACTAAGGAGCAGGGATAAAATGGAGAAGAGCAAATTTCAAATAGAGGTGTGAATTCCAAGCTCAATTCATAGTTCAACAAACTTAGAGCTGAGCTCAAGATTTTGTGGTTAGTTATTAAAACCACGAATGTCAATGATAGTTCTATTGACATCGTCTTGTTCAGAACTTAATGTTATTAACTTCAAAGAGTATTATTAGTGTACTAGCTGTACCCAGCCACGCGTTGCTGTGGCTCAGTCTGGTAAAAGCGTGTGTTGCTTTTACGTCCAACAGATGGCGCTGTTTTTTAAAAAAAGCATGTTTTACCTGTCACAGGTGTGACATCTATATAATATTGGTATATAACAACACGCGCGTATTCAAATGCAACGTTGTGTCAAAATTTCAAAGCAATCGGTGAAGAACTTTCGGAGATTTAAGATTTTGAACAAACGAACATTTACATTTTTATTTATATAGATATGAATCAATTTAAAATATATTCTTAAGATCTGTCTGAATTTGGTGCTAAGAAAAATAATAAAGAGGCAGAGAAAAATCAATGAGATACATACTTATTAAATATTATTAATAAAATTGAAGTGCTGCAACGTATTAGTTGTGAAGTTAAGACTTCCAATGATACTTCTTCTTTGATATGTTGATTTGTGATGTAGTTCTACTGTAAATGTTATGTTTTCCTCCACAGGTTTTGCAGAACATTGTACACTGTGCAGATCTCAGTAACCCCACAAAACCACTAGAGCTCTATCGCCAATGGACAGACCGAATCATGATAGAATTCTTCCACCAAGGGGATCGTGAGCGGGAGAAGGGCATGGAGATTAGCCCAATGTGTGATAAACACAATGCCTCCATAGAAAAGTCTCAGGTGACACTGCTAGTAAACTCCAGGTTACAGATGGCATGGGAATGATAGCTGTTTAACTGTGGGTGGGGGTTTTGAAAAAAACTACAATACTCAAAAATTTTATGCTAAAATGAAATAAAATACAAAGCTAAACACAAATGAATGTAAACGCTTTGTGTATAAGCATAGCCAACAATAATTTTAAAAACGTATTGAATGGAAGGGAGCAGGAGAAAAGCAAACATGGGTATTCATAGTCAGAGCATTTTGAGTTAGGAAACATTTGCTTGTATACCTAAGTTTTTTGCAAGTGTAGAATTGGGACTGGAGGAGGAATTAGATACAAACTTATAAAAGATAGGGTAACAATGTCTGCCCTAGCACATTTAACATTCTGTGTTGTTTTTCTTCTGCCAGGTGGGATTCATTGATTATATTGCGCATCCACTTTGGGAAACCTGGGCTGACTTAGTTCATCCTGATGCTCAGGAGATTCTGGATACTTTAGAAGACAACCGAGAATGGTATCAGAGCATGATTCCTCATAGTCCCTCACCTCCCCCAGATGCATCAGGTTTAGAGAAAAATGGAGGAGACAAATTCAAGTTTCAGCTTACTTTAGAGGAGGAAGATGGAGAAGAATCAGATATTGAACCAGAGATTGAGAGCCCTCTGGAAGAGGATAATAGTGAATCCAAAACCTTGGGGACAACTGATGATTCAGAATCTGCAAATGAGCCATTGCCTTCTCCAACAGACAAATTGGCCAGCCCCCACAGAAATGCCCTAATCAAACAAAAAGGTGCACTGAACTTTGACAACCAAAGAACACTTTCACAGACTGATAGTGGTTCCATAGCAGATCCAGTTGAGTTAGCAAGAAGAGAGAGCCTGATTGATGCACAATCGTGTCTTGACATGGAAGGAAATATCACCTTTTTGCCTCTTGGGACGTAGTGAAGGGAAGACCCGATGATGATTACATTCTGGCAGGGCCAGAAGGGGACCACAATAGGCCACCCCAAATCTTGCTGCCAGCAACCTATGATTTCACTCCCCATTGTAAGGGAGTGTTACTATTAACATTTTCTTCCCCAAAGAAATCTGTAGCTTGAACCGCATTATTTGCCCAGGTGGCGAAATATCAGAGATCAGACTATGCCTGTCATGTCTTCCTTCCAGTGTTGCTGCTCAGCATCTGAGTTGTACGTGGCAAATGGAAAAATTCTTCCTGCTGGACTTGTCTCTATCACTAATTTCTTATTTTGGTTTCAACTTGGAAATAGTCTGTATCTTGTTTTAAGAAAGCCCAGGTGGAAATACAGCTCTTAGTTCAGTGTAAGAACAAATATTTTTGCCTGAAGATGGACACAGGTTCAATCTCTGACATCTTTAGTCTTCTTTTTTTAGAGGTTCTAGGCTGGGAAAAAGTTTTTTCTGACTGTGATCCCGGAAAGCTTTTTCAAGTTAGAGCAGACAGTTCTGGGTTGGTTGGACAACTGGTCAGACTTTTTTAGTCCTACACTTTCCAAGCATGCAAATTTCATTTGAGGAAAGGTTCTGTATGATCCTGCTAAAAATCAGAATAATGTAGGCGTGGGTTTGATGGACCAATGATTTGACCCAGCAAAAAGGGAATCTTAAAATGACATGCTACTGCAGAAAGGGGAATTGTGCAGATAAATATTATATTTGCTTTTCTCAAGTGTAATAAAGCCAGCATCCTGGGAAGTTTCACATAAAATATTCAAGTAGGAGGCAGTCTCTGTAAATTACAGTGTGATAGGATGCTATCAAGAAATACAAAATTCATCCTGCTGGATGCACTTGGCATCAAATTCCTGATACTCAAACAAGAAGGCCTTCCTTCCGACTGCATGTTACCTCATTCTGGTAGCTGCATTGAAAATAGCCTCTTTTATCTTAATCTCCTAGAATACCTTTTCTCCCACATGAAAATATTTATAGAAAGTGATAAGTCCATTTCTCCAATATTCAGAGATTTTGTTTTAATTTTTCCAGTAAGACGGGAAAACCCTATTGTTTAAAATTGTTTATTTTGTAACATGTATTTCTCCATAGCAGCTGTAAAGAGTAAATTATTCATGTTTTCTTTTTTAAAAAGAGGAAAGTATTTTTGATGCAGAAATAGGTAATCAATATTTTTAAAAATATGTAATTAATCTTCCCAGCAATTTCTAATATAAATTGGCTATAGTAACTGGCAGAACTGCTTGCTATACAAGGGTAATTGGAAGTCTTGCTAATTTTCAAATTAATGAGGGGGGGGGGGAAGGACCTGAAGTTGATAATTTGACTCTTCTGACATTTTAATCACTTTGACTTTTTCCTGTGAAATCAATGCCCCACTTTCTTGGGGCTTTGGGGGTATGGGGCTTCATTGCCCCTTTCTCCTAAAAGGAATGGGAGAAGCTATCCCAAATGATGTGTTCATATTAGACTACTCATAAAGGTTTTGTGTGATATGTACACTATTTATTTTGGATCTTTTGATCATTAACATTTTGCGGAAGAAAAAGACCTATTATTTTTAAAAGGCATTTTAACTTTGTTTTCTAAATACAAAAACAATTGTTTTGTTTTAATAAGTTGGTTTTGTGACATTAGGGGAGAAGCAATTTACGTGGAATTGTGAAAAAATTGTGGATTTAAACGTTTCCCGCCTGTTTTCAGTATTCAAAGAAATCTATTATTTTGTTCTTTCTGGGTTATCTGGATCTTCACTCCATGTATTTCACAGCTCACAAAAGAGGATTGTTACAACACTGAATTTGCTGCTAAACATTTCTTGATTTCAATCAAATTAGAGATCCATTCTGTCCCTCTTATTCTACATCCCTATGCATTAAAGAGTCTGTCCTATCCCAGAGAAGACTTGTAACTAGATAGTACTCTGTCCATTGATTTTTTTTTTTCCCCTAGAAGGCTTAATCTGCTGATTTGAAGAGATGCACTTACTGCTTTGGGTAAATAATGCAGCTTTATGGAGCCTCAAAAAGAGACAGGGTCCGTTGAAACTGGGGAATCATTAGCCAATGTAAGTAGCAGATAAAAGTTATGAATAGAAGAATGAGATTTAAAGATTCATTTGTAAAATTTTGGCGAGGCCAACTTATGATTTGAGAAGCTTAAACTGCTGATTGATTATAAAGCTAGGGTGGTACCTCCATCTACTGTATTTACGTATTAGAAATCCAGGGAGGGTGCAAATGAGGATGATTCTATGCACCAAAATGATATTGTGTCTCATCATTTTCTTTCCATATACTGTACCTCTTATGAAAGGCCGGTTATGCATTACTACTGGGAAGGCTACCACTTTTAATTTATTTTTAGCAAGTATTTTTTTTGTTCTTTTTTTAAAATAACTTTTGTAGCTTTATGCTTAATAATATTTTAATGTGTAATAACCTCACCAATGGTTGGTTCAGGCAAATTTTATTGATAGCAATTGGTTTAACTGTGATTTGCACTCAAAAATGCTGCATTATGTGTGTGCAAATGTATATATGTATATGTTGAATGTTTGTTTGTATACACATGTATTTCACAATGCACTTTGAGTTTGCTGAGCTGCCACTGGGGCCTGGCCCTACAGACTAAGTTACTGTTTCTTTGTGAAATAAGTATTGTCATAACCACAGAGAACATATTGGCATTTTTATCTGATTGTCTGTTTTTCCTTGCAACATTGTTTTCTGGCAACACCTTTTCTTTACATTGTATTTAAGTGTTAAAATGAAATGTTTGGCTTTTTAAATTGTACTATAAATCTCCAGAGCTTGAAAAAAACACTTCAGTCCTAAAGAGATCATAGTAACACAGCATTGTTAGTAGAATGGTAACTATAGGAGAGAAGAGATACTACCAACTGGAGTTTAGAATGTAGAAATTGTGGATGGAGATGGGAATGAATCCAAAATAGAAAGGTAAATCTGAGCAAAGAAATTAGAGGAGGGAGGGAGATTATATGGTGATGCTTGATCAAAGTTTTAGGCAAAAAAAGCAAAAAGGTATGAGAACTGTCAGGACCTAGCCCAACTGATTGAGGAAAATTAGGATCAGCTATTAGAACTGCAAAGGATGTAATGCTCTCCTTGCAAACAACACTTTCTAATATCTAATATAATTATTTTGAAAGGGTAGTGGATTGAGTGGTATTGTATGTGAAATTTTCACAGAAACCGATGCAAAAATGAGTGAAGTTCTGGAAAAACAATAATGACTGCTTATTTCCCACAGGCCAGGTCCTTTTTTCCTCCCAGCAAATCCATCACTGACAAGCCTAACTCCCAAATAATGTAAATATTTAATCCCAAAGCATAAAGCTTATCTCTCATCTGTGTTTGCCTGTCTCTTGTATGTCCCTCAGTGCTCTTAATTTATACACACACATCGTACATGCACATCTGCCTAGTTTCACAAAATACTTTTGCCTTCTTGGGGACTTATTATGACAGTGATCCACCAACTACATTTCCTTCCAGGCTCCATTTGTTTCTTTCACAGATTACATGGTGGAATTATAAGAAAGTACAGTACTGTATAATCAAATGGCCAAGCAAAACTCAAATCAAAACTTTGATATTGGATTTTGGAAGATATTAAGATTAAATAAGATTTAGCAACGCCTACAAACACACCCTGAGGTTAGATGGGGATTGCTAGAATAGAATAGAGTTGGAAGGGACCTTGGAGGTCTTCTAGTCCAGCCCCTGCTCAAGCAGGAGAACCTATACCATCTCAGACAAGTGACTGTCCAGTCTCTTCTTAAAAACATCCAGTGATGGAGTGCTATTTAGACCCACAGATGCACTCAAAAACTGTACAAAACATTTTTCTGCCATATTTTTCCTTAAACAGATATTATGTAAGTGAAAGAAAAGGAAAGAATGCGAAAAGCCAGAGTCATAGTAGTGGATTTACAATCACTTTAGTGATGTTTCAGTTTTGGAATGCATTTTAGCTTGCAGAACGTCTTTCAGCATATAACAATTAAGGTGGATTTCTTCCTTGTTTCCTGTACTTTGCCAAGACTGCAGTCTGTGTGACCCATAACTAGCTTGGGAACTATACAAGCAAGTATGTTTGAGATGTTCCTACTCTTTCTTTTTTTTAAAGTTATATCAGTCTCAGAAAAGATTCACTTTAGCAACATTTAGAAGTTTAAAAGTGATGTTATGTTGCCATCTAATGGTCACACACAGTCCTTGGACCTGCATTCACACATATCATTCTCAGTCTTCTGTTGTAAGTAAGTTTACAAGTAAACTTGTAGTCAACTGTAGCTGACTTTTTATATTCTTAGGAGATATTGTACACTTCCTGTATGTATCTCTCACTATGATCCAGCCATCCCACTGAGTTAGGGATAGTTTGGTTTTCTTATAGATGGTGATTTACGAGGCAGATGAGCTAAACCTATTAAAGCTCAGAACATATTTATTGAATTTTGCAGAGTAATGAATGAAAGTCCTAGCAAGATAACACTTAAAAGTTTTCTAATGATATTCCTCATAACACAACACAACACGATAGAAAGGAAATTCTGATGTTAGTCTTCTGTATCTAGATGCTTAAAACATTTTTTGTAAGTTAATTAATGGAAAGATTGTCAGTTACAGTATCTTACTGGAGAAATAGTACTACAGATACCAAACAACATGGATGGTTTGGGTTTTGTTAGGAGCCCTGGTGGTGCAGTGGTTAGAATGCAGTATTGCAGGTTAACTCTGCCCAGTCTGGAGTTCGATCTTGATGGGGCTCAAGGTTGACTCAGCCTTCCATCCTTCCAAGGTTGGTAAAATGAGGACCCAGATTGTTGGGGGCAATATGCTTATATTGTAAACTGCCGACAAAGTGCTGTAAAGCACTATGGGGTGGTATATAAGTCTAAGTGCTATTGCTATTGGTTTGTTTTTTCTCGCTTTCCTGGCCATGACTGTTTTGGCCCATTTTCACAACAGTAGAAAAACTTGCTAGCATTTTCAAATACTTTTCTCATACTACGATATATGCATTTTATACACATTTGTTACTGTGAGCATGTTAGTAACTAATTTCTCCATAATAAAACACATTTGTCTATGCCCTTTTCATTAACATGTGTTTTAGTGTGCACTTTTTATAATATAAATATTTTATGCATATTTTTGAGTAGTGAATTACATCGCCAAGTCAGACAAAAAAAACCCCATATAATTTGCACACACATTCAACTGGTGTAGGTTTATATAAAAGTTCAGACTAGATAAATCTCTCCCAGTCCTTAGACCTAACTGGTTCTCTCATTTCATACTTTGGCCTCCAATAATGATAATGACTCAAACACTTTTATGGCCACTATTATCCTGGCCCTATTGCTAAAATTTAATTGGTGTAGATTGATGTAGTGATTAAGTGCCCGGCAATCACCAGCAATCAACACTGATTTGAAAGGACACAGATACATGCATATTGCTGAAATGACAATAAATGGAAAATACCCCATAATGTTACAGAAGTATTATGATATAATACTCATTTAAGTGTAATTTCACTATCATTTCAGTAGTAAGAAAAGGATGGAAATGACACTGGGAAAACCTAACAGAATTACATTAGAGGGGTTTTCTTGATCCATCTATAAAACATGTGAATAAACCACAGCAGAGGTGCCAGTTCTGGAGTGTAGAAATTTGGGTGATCAGCGAATAACAATAAAAAGATACAGGAAACTCCTTGCTGCTATCTAGTAGTGGCTACTGTAATCTGGATAATGTAATGCAGTCCTGTTGTAATAGCTTTAAATCTCAATAATTCTATCACTGATATCCAATGGAGAATCATTGTTTATGACTGAAGCGTTATCAGCACTGATTTTCAAAAGGACCTCCTAATTATGTTTATCCTGTCTTAAAGGCCACATACTGTATGTCTAGTAAATTTTAAAATGGTTTTATATTCTGGAATCTGGGCTGTCATTATTGACCGTAGCCCTTTGATAGAAAATGTGGACATTTATTAAGCCTTCTAATATAGCAAACAAAAACCTAATATCAGGAAGCAGTCTAAAATGTTTTCCCTTCAGATTAAATAGCACATCTTCCAAGGGCTAAAATGCAATAAAAAAGAGAAATGGCTAACTCCTATATTTTTATGATCCCCAGCCCTTCCTTGCAGTCAGCAAAGTAAATCCTAACCTTGTGTTTTACAGCTAGTGCCTATGAAATCTATACAACTCATACTGAAGTTTTTTTCTTATTCTGTTGCTGAATATTGTTCCACCTTTTGCAAACATTGTAATACGCATATATATATATGCAAGCTTGCTTTTATCTTTCACCTTAAAAATCTCAGTTGTAATAATATTTTATACACTTTTTATACACAAAGCCACTGAATAATCCATAATAATTATATTATATAAAATTAATGCAGGAAGTCCTTGGCTTAAAGCCACAATTGAGCCCAAAATTTCTGTTATTAAGTGAGACATTTGTTCAATGAGTTTTGCTCCATTTTATGACCTTTCTTTTGTTGACAGTTGTTAAGTTGTTAAGTGAATCTGGCTTTTCCATTGACTTTACATTTGTTAAGTTAGTAACACGGTTGTTAAGTGAATCTGGCTTTCCCATTGACTTTGCTTGTCAGAAAGTTGCAAAAGGTGATCACATGACCTTGGGACACTGCAATATGAACCAGTTGTCAAGCATCCAAATTTTGATCCTGTGACCATAGGATGCTGCAACAATCATAAAAGAGAAGACCAGTCATAAGTCACATTTTTCAGTGCCATAACTTCAAACAGTCACTAAACGAATGGTTGTAAAGGACTTCCTGCACATATTAATAACAAGTTGCTGTTTTTTTGTTCCAGAAAATTCACAATTATTAATATGCTCAAAACTTCTGAAACAAGCTAGGGCAGCAAATAGGGCAGCAAATATTCGTGTCTTGTTTTACGCAACCACTAGATTTTTTGTGTGTTTTGGGGATCTGGGTCATGTTTTCAAGATGACGAGGTGAGGTAATAATATCAGGAACTTCCTCATGTTTTATTCGTGTATTCCCAGGAATTATATATACCAGTGTTTCTCAACCTTGACAATTTTAAGGCATGTGGACTTCAACTCCCAGAATTCCACAGCCAGCAATGCTGGCTGTGGAATTCTGGGAGTTGAAGTCCACATGCCTTAAAATTGTCAAGGTTGAGAAACACTGATATATACCTCTCGTGTACAACGTATTTCACTGAGGGCAGATAATACATAGTTATTTTTTCCTTTCACGCAAGGGAAAATATAAATAAGTAAATAAAAAAAAAATAAGCACGTAAGGAAATAATTTCCCCTCAGGACCACCCGGTAGCCCCTTCTAAGGGAAAAGGGTAAAATAAAGGAGGGATATATTTCGGTGAGAGAGAAAAGAGAGGGGGGGGGGAAGGAAATCGCAAAGGATTTAGCAACGCAGGCTTACTCAGAAGCAAATCCCTCCGTGAGGTAAAGGATTACACAGCCTAATCCAGGGGTAGTCAACCTCGGCTCTTTTATGACTCGTGGACTTCAACTCCCAGAATTCCTGAGCCAGCTTAGCTTAGCTTAGTTTAGCTTAGCTTAGCTGGCTCAGGAATTCTGGGAGTTGAAGTCCACGAGTCATAAAAGAGCCGAGGTTGCCTACCCCTGGCCCTAATCAATCACCGACGTGTCGCCAATGCCCAAGACGACAACTCCTCGGGCCCGCCCGCAGGAAAACCGGAAAAAAAGGGGAGGGCCCTTCGCGAAGTCACGTGACCCTCTCATCTGCATATCTCCGCCCCCTTCGGAGCGCTGGTGACGTTGGCCAGGGAGCTGCAGGCAGGTGCTTGTTCCCTCGCGCCACTGCCGCCGCCGCCGCCGCCGCCGCTGCTGCATTAGCTAGGAGACCAGAAGCGCGTTCACGGGGTAAGTGCGCGCCCGGTGCAATCCCCCCCACCTCGTTTTTTATTTTTTATTTTTTAATCTTTTTTCTAACCTAGATCGATGACACTTGATCTGTATCGCCTCTTTGCATTCGGTTGGCTTCCGACGGTGGCATTGCTTTGAAACAGGGTGGCGCGGTGGCGGCGGGGAGGGAGGGTGGGGGAGCAGGTTGTTAACCTTCATTTGACACATGTATGAGAAGTGGGGGAGGGGTGCAGCAAATAGATGGGGAGGGATGCTGGTTTATTGGGGGGGGAGTGTTTTTAAATCAAAGAATATATTGGGTGGGAGGGATGTTGCCGATTTTCCAAAGGGAAAGATGTTTTGCATTTAAAAAAAAAAAAAAAAAAATAGATGGCACGGCATGAAACGGGAGATGGGCATTAAGTCGCGGGCCTCGTCAGAGGAGGTTTCTCGGGGATGCAGATGGTAAACAGGAGGCTCTGGAAAGAGAGAGCGAAGGGGATGGGAAAGAGGGAAGCAGCATCGCAGGTTGCAAAGAGAGCCAGTTCCGGCTCAACTGCTGCTGCTCATTCGTGTGGGCCTTTCTTGCACGAGATTAGACTGGGCTGAGAGGGGGGAAAAAAAGAGGGGGCATTTTGTAATGTCAGCTCTTTCCCTCCAGGCCAAAAAAAAAAAAACCCCCAACCCCTCCACAAAGCTTTTCCTAAGGCTCTTCTGTGCCACTTCTGGTTTTGCTGTGGAGGAGAAGCAAATATGTCAGCAAGATCAGCTTTTTATAATATTGACCAGAGAGGTCTTTTTCTTCATTTCTCCCCTCCCAAATGCCCGATCTAGTATTGGGGATCAGCGCTTTGTGAACTTCTCCTTGGAAGATGCACCCTCAATTGCCCAGCTATTTAATTCCAAATTTTATTAAGAATGTAGAAGGGAAAGAAGATTGCTCTCTGTAGTCTCTGTTAAAGGATCTACATTGTAGCTGAAAAAGAGCCTATGGTAGTACGGTAAAAAATCTTGTGGTGAACATATTTATCAGCTTTCCTGAGGCTCAGCCTCTTGTATGCAATGCAGCAGTAGGGGTTGCTTTTTCAGATCAAGACAGTGGGGGAAGGGTACATCACTATGTTTGTTTCATCAGAAGGAGAGTAACTTACCCTGGCCGAGCTGCGCTCAGCTATTCCTGCTAGCTTAACAATTTTTTCCTTAAACATTCTACTGCCCATGGTTACAATTGCCCACTAGTTAGACCAAAAAGGTGGTGTCCATGTGTGTATGTGTGTGTGTATGTAGCCAGACAGACCACTTTAAATATTCAATAACCGGGAAGCATTTGATTCAACATGAAAGCATTTGCAACTTGAGCACACTATGTCAGGCATTGCATGGACAGATAAGGCCAGGCCAAAGGATCCTGCCGGATAACATCGCACTTGGATGTCCTGGGAAACCAGTGATTGATATTGAAAAGATTGAATAGCTCAGCATTGGCCTGTTCTGTTTTCCTTTACGTTGCCATAAGCTATGATGATGATAATTTGCTTAGACAGCTTTAAACCTGGGTTGGACTTAGGAAATGGAGAGAAGAGGCCTGTGTTAATTGCACTGGTGAAATGGAGCTTCCATGTTTGGAAACGGCCAGTGAAACATTTTGCACAGGGGTAATTGGCTGCCCAGTATTAGATATGATGCTGGGCAGGAGACATTCGATTAAGATTAGCAGGATCTTACACAATATGAGTCACGTATATTCCTGGATTAGAGCAGTCTCCTCAAAACATTGGGTGCTAATAATGAATACCTATAGGAGTTGTCACTTTCATGTCTTGCATAACATTTTCCCCTCTGAGGCATATGCATGAAAGTGAGATGGAGGAAGTAGCAATCCATTTTAACAGAATAACAGATTTGGAAGGGACCTTGGAGGTCTTCTAGTCCAACCTCCTGCTCAGGCAGGAAACTCTATACCGCTTCAAACAAATGGTGGCTGTCCAGTCTCTTCTTAAAAACCTCCAGTGCTGGAGCATCCACAACTTCTGGAGACAAACCGTTCCACTGATTAATTGTTCTCACTGCCAGGAAATTTTGCTTTAGTTATAGGTTGATTCCCTCCTTGATTAGTTTCCATCCTTTGTTTCTTGTCTTGATTTCAGAACTTGATCTTATCAAGTAGGGCTCTTGGCCTAGATCTTAAGGAAGAAAGGAAATTAAGTTAGGGGATATTAGCTATAGACAGATATTCCTATATATTAGAAAACCCATTTTGAAAATGTTACTCAGACATGATGCCATGATCTTCTCCCAGTTTCTGAAAGCCCAGCTGATGAGGTACTATTCTGTAAGCCAATTCATTTTGGGAATTATTAGTAGCAACTAGGATTGATGATTGTTTACTACTTCCTGAATCACAGATATGTATCCTTATGTAAGGCATGCTATCACTTTCCTTGCCTATGCTGTGAGCATTACATGGCTGCTGGCCTGATCTAGAGTTCTTCTTGTGTTTATATGCTTCATGAGCTCCTACCTAGAAGATCCCTTATTCAGTAAGTAGTTCTGAAAATTGGAGCCAGTTTCAGACTAATCAGCTTTCAAAGAAGACTCTGCAACTGTCATGAGAACTGGAACCTTTGTTGTCAATTTGACATTTTGTTTAAAGTGGAAATGTCATCTGAAAACCTTCTGCACCAGATACCCAAACAAATTCAAAAGTTCTGATACTCTTCCATGTTGGAGAACCAAGAGTTGCATATCTGCATTGGCCTATATGCTGTTTTAGAGGATTCCTACTCAACTTGCTTGCTCAACACCACATAAGGGGGGTCCCAGTGGCTGTGTTCATGCAGCATACTTACATCAATTAATGATTTGCTGGGTTTCAACAAGACACCATATCATAAACTAAACCAAAAAAATGGCTTGATCCAAAATGGTAAAGTTGTCTTCAAATGCTACAATGGCCTTATTGTTCAAGATGATTCACCATTCAAATATTAACCAGAACCAACCCTGCTTAGCTTTCTAAATCAACTAAGGTTTGCTAGGTCCTGTCATCTGCTAAAGCCCTTTGCATAACATACTAACAACCCCCCAAAATCTAGCCAACAAAACACTATCTCGGCTTAGCATATTGTACGAATTCATTTGATAGACCCTGACTTGGCCTTGTGAAATATATTGATGAATACAATCACAGGCAAATGCACATTGTTGAAAGTAACTCTTGGTGGCCTGAATTGGGGACATAAGCCTAGAAATTTCATTGCTTCATTCCTTTGCACTAGTCTTGGATTCTGTAAAGGGACATACATATTCTGCTGAAAACAGTGCAGCATGGACAGACAGGATCTGCATTTCAATGGCTTGTCTGATTCTGCACCAAAAGTTCTTCACATTTTAGGCATTCTGGTTTTCTTGGTGCCTGGAAGTTCTGGAGCAGGTATGTGGCAAGGCAGGTAAAATTGAATGTTTTTTTTCTTTTGCAGTGTCTTTCATTTTTACCCTCCTCAACTTTTTCATGTGTCTCAAGCACACGTGCTAATGTCAAAGAGCAAAGGATTTTTTTTTTTTGGGGGGGGGGGTAACCAAAGTCATCTTTGGGTAGTGAGACAGAAAGTCAAGATATGTTTTTTAAAAGGTGTAAGACTTTGATTTCATAGTCATATCAACATCTGATTCTCTCCCCTCACGGATCAACCTATGTGATTGTACCCATGCATGTTTGTGCATATACAGATAGTCGTCAATTTATAACCTTTGATTTAGCAACCATTCTAAGTTGTAATGGCACTGAAAAAAGTGACTTACATCCTAACACAACTGTTGTAGTGTCCTGCCAGTCATGTGATCAAAATTCAAGTGCTTGGCAACCAGCATGTATTTAGGATGGTTGCAGCTTCCTGGCTTTAAGTGATTGCATTTGTGACCTTCCCAGCTGGCTTCCAACAAGCTACGTTAATAGGGGAAATGGATTTGCTTAACGCTTAACGACCATGGAGATTTATTTAACAATGGTTGCAAAATAACTCACTGCTTTGACTGCTTTGCTTAGCAACAGAATTTCCAATCCCAGTTGTGGTTGTAAGTTGAGGACTATCTGTAATCACAGCCTATAAACAGGTAGTTTTCCAACATGGGACATTGTAACCAGACTCACGCCTTACATTAAGCCAGGGGTCTTCAAACTTGGCCCTTTTATGACTTGTGGACTTCAACTCCCAGAATTCCTCTGTCAGGCTGAGGAATTCTGGGAGTTGAAGTCCACAAGTCATAAAAGGGCCAAGTTTGAAGACCCCTGCATTAAGCCATTATATGATCTGTTCAGCATGAACCCCATTGGCTGTTGCTTTTTCTATAATCAAGTTAAGCCAAACATGATTTAGCCCAATCTTTTCCATTGAATCCGACCATGTGCCATGCAATTTAGTACTTACTGATTGGCAACACAAGTTCTGTTGATTTTCAGACCAAAAAGAGTCTTAACCAGCTCCATTTGGAGAATGAATTCAGATTTCTTTTTTTCCCTTTTTTTTGCACCTCAGCATGTGCAGCGTCATTGAGCAAAGGCTATTTTAAAAATAGCAATTCTAATATAATTCCTACCCTTATAATAAAAAGAGTGATTTAAACAGAACCATGTGAACTTACCTAATGCAAGGTGAGATCTCACATTGGGAAAAAGTCTTGGTTTATTAAATTAGCTTATTGGTTATATCACAGTTAGCCAAGTTTCATCACAAGCTATGGTTTACAAACCTGAGTGGTCATGTTCATGGAACATGCTAAAACCAAAACAAATGTAACTATGAATTAGTACATTGTGTGAACCAAGTCATTGAATCAGATGGAGCAGAGTTTTCCCAGGCCTTACTTGGTGATGAAACTTCGAATTCTTCCCCACCCCTCCTTCATATGCATTCTCTTTATCTCCAAACTCAGTGGGTATTCTTTCTTTACCTATATTTTCTTTCCTTGTCTTTTATGAGCCAGATTTACCTATCGCCTGGTCTTTATTTCCATTAACT